CAGGCACAGCAAGGAGAATGGAAAAATGGGGTAGGTATACCACCAACCAGCTCTCCCTATAAATCTGAAGATATATTGATATTGCCATTTGCGGGATACCATTTTCAGACACGCCCAAATTAATCATATTGGTGTTATATCCCATCATATCCCCATGAATTGTGGTTGGTATACCACCAACCAGATAATCATATACAAATGCATCATTGATACCCTATGGACATCTATGGACCTAAGGTTTCTCACTTAGTAACTGCAACAATATATATATATATATATTATATATATATTATATTATATTATATTATATTATATTATATTATAACATAGACCCGGGCAAGCCGGCGGCGGAAGTTTCCCAAGAATAAATGACCTATAGTTCAAGGCCAGCCTGTCCCGAGCGTGTCCTTCCCTCGACAAGCGGGTTTTTTTTTCAGCGAGAGACGAAGCAAAGTCTTCACACTCCACACTTCACACTTCACTCTTCGCACTCCTAACTTCACACTTCTCACTTCTCACTGCTTCCTTCACACTCCAAACTTCACACTCCACACTTCACACTTCGCACTTCACAGTCCACACTTCTCACTTCTCACTGCTTCCTTCACACTCCAAACTTCACACTTCACACTTCTCACTTCGCACTTCACACTCCACACTTCACACTCCACACTTCACACTCCAAACCTCACACTTCACACTTCTCACTTCGCACTTCACACTCCACACTTCACACTTCACACTTCTCACTTCGCACTTCACACTCCACATTTCACACTTCACACTTGACAGTCCACACTTCACACTTCTCACTGCTCACTGCTTCCTTCACACTCCAAACTTCACACTTCACACTCACTTCGCACTTCACATTCCACATTTCACACTTCACATTTCACAGTCCACACTTCACACTTCTTACTGCTCACTGCTTCCTTCACACTCCAAACTTCACACTTCACACTCCACACTCCACACTTCACACTGCACTCTTTGCACTCCAAACTTCACACTCCACACTTCACAGTCCACACTTCACTTTCTAGTCATTTATTCTTGGGACACTAATGCCGTCACTTCTACTTCCCACTGTCATTACCTAAAAAGGGGCCAGTCCAAACAGTTACAATACTCATTGTCACTACAGTTACAGCCACAACGGTCATTGTCAAAGTAGTCTTTGTCATAGTATCTATGGTCACAGTAGTCATGATCAGAATAGTCACAGTCACAGTCACATCAGGTATGGTCACACTAATCAAAGTCACGGTGGTCATTTTATGGAGGTTATCAACATACAACCGCACGAACGATGGAATTACTTCACACTCCACACTTGTCACTTCTCACTGCTTCCTTCACACTCCAAACTTAAACTTCACACTCCACACTTCACACTTCTCACTTCCCACTGCTTCCTTCACACTGCACACTTCACACTGCACTCTTCACGCCCCACACTTCACTGCTCTAAACCTACGTGCAACGGCGTCGGAAAATTGTAGCTCCAAAACCGGATCTCGACGCCAGAGCGAAAAAAAGACGATTTTGAAGCACTTTTTAAAAGGATTTTTAAAAGGAAAATTACTAGCGCCAAAATGGAGGAAATCTGCTGACAAATCACTGTCGCAGCCTTCATGCAGCGACTCCAATACGATTTACGAAGTCCAGCTGCAAAAGACAATAGTATTACGCATGCAGCCTCAGCATGAAGCAACCTTGACGCAGCTATTACAATGCGATCTGCGGAGACTGAGTTGCAAAACACAATAGAACTACGCGCAACTGGGTCGGAAATTGCAGGTCCAAAACCGGATCTCGACGCCAGAGCGAAAAAAAGACGATTTTGAAGCACTTTTTAAAAGGATTTTTAAAGGAAAATTACTAGCGCCAAAATGGAGAAAATCTGCTGACAAATCACTGTCGCAGCCTTCATGCAGCCACTCCAATACGATTTACGAAGTCCAGCTGCAAAAAACAATAGTATTACGCATGCAGCCGCGGCACCAAGCAACCTTGACGCAGCCATTACAATGCGATCTGCAAAGACTGAGCTGCAAAACACAATAGAACTACGCGCAACTGGGTCGGAAATTGCAGCTCCAAAACCGGATCTCGACGCCAGAGCGAAAAAAAGACGATTTTGAAGCACTTTTAAAAGGATTTTTAAAAGGAAAATTACTAGCGCCAAAATGGAGAAAATCTGCTGACAAATCACTGTCGCAGCCTTCATGCAGCCACTCCAATACGATTTACGAAGTCCAGCTGCAAAAGACAATAGTATTACGCATGCAGTCGTGGCAAGAAGCAACCTTGACGCAGCCATTTACACTGCGGGAACGATTAGAGTTGCAAATCACAATGGAATTCCATCAGCAACTCATCCACCAGCACCACTTGCAACCCCATTTACAATGCGGAAACGATCCTACAGTTGCAAATCACAATGGAATTC